GAGATCATAGGGGCAGCTGAGAGGTGCTTAGAGCAGAGGAGACCACGGTGCTGGCAATGCCATTCCCCACAGAGCAGCCTGGGGCCTGGGCTGGGGACGAGCTGGGATGCTCTAGAGGACTGGATCCAGAAAAGGCTCTACAACTGCCAGCAGCTGCCAGTGGCCAGCCGCTCGAGGGACACTCCCCCAGGAGGTGAGTGCTGGTGTGAGAAGAGACAAGTCATCTTTTCTGTCAGAGAGCAGTTCAGACAGCCGCCATGTTGGCTGCATGGCTTCCAGCAGAAGTAAGTTTGTGGAGGTTGCAACCCAGGGAAGTTTAAAACAAAAGCCAGCTAATTCCAAGCCTAACAAACCATTTTCTTCCCCACCTGAGGCAAAGCGGGCGGGGAAAGGAAAAAACCCCAAGGTTTCCAAGTGGCAGAATGGAAGGCGGTACTTGGGTGCCTGCCGAACTGGGAAGGGCAGAGAAATTTGCAAAACCCCGCCCAGCATCATGTCCATTAAACATCCAGTTGTCAGCGTTGATATTAACTGGGATGGGACCAGGACAGGAGGCAGGTGTCTCGTGCCTGCTTGTGACGTCACAAACCCGCGCAGGCCAGCTGAGGCGGAACTAAGGCTGACCTTGGGGCACGCAGCAAGAGAATGGGCGGTTCTTGAATGAGGATGGACCTCATTCCAAGGGTGGTCCTGGAGGCATAGGACTCCCAGCCAGATTAGCGTGTCCTTTCTTTGAACAGAAAGGGCGATCATAGTTAACAGCATAATTCAAATCCCTGTTACAAAATTAGTCAAGAAAATGCTTTAGGTAATAGTTGGCTTTGAAAATCTCAAAGTTGTTAAGATATAAAGCTTTTCAGTAAAAATCTAAAAGAGAACAAGGGCAGACAAATGGGATCCCTTGAATTGCCTCGCCCCTCCCCATGCCACCGGGAGACAACCTGAGGAAACATCCAAGATGGCCGTTCACAATCCCAGCCTCCCCCTCAGGCTCCAACTGGCCCTGTGGCCACCACGCCACCAGAAACCAGCTTTCCTGGGCTGCGAAAGAGTTCAAGCCTCTACTGGAAGACCCACCTAGTGTAGCTGGCCAATCAGATCAATTTCTAGGCCCACAAGTATATACATGGACCGAATTAATGTCCATTTTAGGAATCCTATTCTCGGGAGAAGAGAGAGCTATGGTTCGAAGGTCAGCTATGGCAGTCTGGGAGCGAGAGCACCCGACTGGCCCTGGGCACTTCCAGCAGAAGTAACATTTCCCAACCAGGAGCCCCAGCGGGACCATAACAACACGGACCATAGAGGGCACATGAGAGACCTTAGGGAGCTCATCATTAAAGGGATTAGGGAAGCAGTTCCCAGTCTCAGAACCTAAATAAACCCTTTAGCATTCAACAAGGCAAAGAAGGGTCTTCCGAATTTACCAAGACTAAGAGATCAAATGAGAAAGTGCTCTAGGCCAGACCCTGAGGACCTGTTGGGCCAAGAAATATTATAAGTTACATTTGGTCACCAATAGTTGGCCTGACATCTCAAGAAAGTGGCCTAGGGAAGGGCTGGCCTGGAGCACTTGTATCTCTAAGGAAGAATATAGCAGTTTACACATAATTTTCCAAAGTCTTAGGTAACTTAAAACTTTGGAGTTTGCTGAATTAAATAATAAAAATTATTAAATAGCTAGGTATTTAAAAATGAAATATACGTGTGGTAAAATTTCGCCTAGTTTATAATACTTTATTGGCCTGATTTTTAAAAAAAGAGGGTTAGTTGGTCTGAACCAAATTTTTAATATTAAAACTGGTTTAAATTTAATTAATGTCTTTTAGAATAATTACAAAAAGTGTGTTGATAAATGTTAATCTAAGAAATGCTGGCTGTTTATTTTTTGGTAAATCATTGAAAAATTAAGGTTTCTAAGAGTGAAGAATTCTAATACATTTAAAAAAAAGAAAGAAAGAAAAGGTCTGTACAAGTTGTAGAAATACTTAATGGAAGGACGGGCATGGTTATGCATTTTGAAGGAAAAAGAAGGTGGTTTCTATAGGTGGTTATTTCTGGAAATTGTAAAAATGTTTTTGAAAGTTGTAAGACTGTCCGTGGAAATTATAACAAGTTTATTATAAAGAAATGTTAAAAAGAAATTGATGTAATGATACAGGCCAGTAAGCCAAGACAGAGCAGAGAAACTGAAATATTAAAACAGCAGTTTGCAACCACCTAGAAAACTCTGTCTTCCCTAAACCAAGGACACTTAAGAGTCAATGATTTGCATTTTGCCTCCCTAAACAGAGGGTAAATAGCTTATGCCAAAGTTCTCAGGAAGACTGACGGGAGAAATCCAATTAGTGTCATTTGCTGTCCACACCCAAGGACAAATGAAATTAGAAAATGAGCCTTATTTTGGTCAGTTCTTTTCTAGTAAAATAATTATGTTATATTAATCAGGTATTTAATAAAAAGACCATCTTTTAATCATAGGAACTGAAGTTTGCTGGCCTATGTTCTGAAAGGGCGAGGACTACGCCCTCCATCTTGCCCCAGGGTAAGGGCTACGCCCTCCATCTTACCCTGGATCCTCCATTTTTGGGCAGCCATGTGCTCGGCAAGGCTTCTTCCCAGAAGCCCAAGCCTCTGCTAGCCACACCCAGGATTTCTTTAAACTAACCAATGACAATCAAGGGAAGTGCGCGCCATAGATATGACCACATCCTGTGTAACAAGACACCGACTTGCGTCTGGCCAATCGGCAGGGCCCACAGTCCTCTCTCCTCCCCTTACTCCAACCCCCTATAAAACCCCTCTTCCCACAGGGCTAGCTCTCTCTCTGCCACTTGCTGCTGCATTAGTAAGGAGGGTAGGGGAGCCAAGCCCGGGCTTGAATAAAGACTCTTATGCTTTTGTATCGGACACGGCTGGCTCCCTGGTGTGGTTTCTTGGGGATCCTGAAATCTGGGCATAACATGTTCCTGTCAAATACACTTCAATATATAATCTTTTGGTAAAATCAAGTTTGACAACCTTCCTAGGGTTTGAATTTTAAGAAAAGTTTTTTTTACCTGGAGTTGGCTGTAGGTGATTCCAATAGGCCCTGGAATGCCTCAAGATCTTCCTACAATGGAAACCAGGGACCAATTTCTTAAGAACTGTGTACTGGGAATCTCTTCTACTTTAATCTCTCTCAGGTTAGAAGGTCTCCTGACCCAAGGCCATCGTGAGTTTCCAGTTCATCGCCATCAACCTGAGGACTATGTTTGTTCTAATCAAGACTTGGAAGGGAAGCAAGTTGGATCTCTCCTGGGAAGGACCCTTCCTGTCTTGCTTACCACAGAGACTGCTGTTCGGACTGCAGAGCGAGGTTGGACCCATCACACATGGGTTAAGGGTGGACACACCTCAACTTGGACAGCCATACCAGGACATGTCCCCTTGAAATTGATGCTAAAAACTGTGAGCTGTCTTAATAACCATGGTGTACTGGGCTCTATTTGCTTTAGGAATCTGGCAAATTGCAGGGGCTTACAATGTGGGCTGGAGAAATATGTACAATCTGGATCATGCTTACCCAGTTAAGTTACTGGTTATAGATCACTTGAATGACTTGGATATTTCAGCCTTTAGGTCAAAAGATTGGCTAGGACTAGATTTAGGAGTAGATGTCACAGGACAAGATTCCCTAGGCCCATGGTTGGCAAACTGTGGCTCACGAGCCACATGCGGCTCTTTGGCCCCTTGAGTGTGGCTCTTCCTAAGCCTTAGGAGTACCCTAATTAAGTTAATAACAATGTACCTACCTATATAGTTTAAGTTTAAAAAATTTGGCTCTCAAAAGAAATTTCAATTGTTGTACTGTTGATATTTGGCTCTGTTGACTAATGAGTTTGCTGACCACTGGCCTAAGGCATTGGCAGCTTTAGTGACGAGTGAGCTGGAGCCTGGGATCGAGGGTCCTTTCTCTGATGCACTACAGAAATGGTGTCCACCCTCACCCCTTTGATTAGGAGCTGCAGTGATGGGTGTCACATCATCCCATGTGTGTATGGGGAGTCTTACCCAAGGGTTAATTGGAACCGCATTGACCAAACAGCAAAGCAGTCTCCTCCTGGACACTGCAGAGCATGAAAGTCAGTGAATGTCAGCCGCGTTTGAAGAGAAGTGTTTAAATAAAGAAAAGGGGGGAAATGTGAGAATAAACAAGTCATCCCTTTTCTGTCAAAGACCAGTTTAGACAGCCGCCATTTGGGGCTGTGTGACTTGGCAGCCGCCATGTTGGCCGCATGGCTTGCCACTCCCCTGGGGGCCGCCATCTTGAAACAGCAAAGGCTAACCCCTCCCTTTGAATTAGCCAGTCATGAAAAACTGTGCACCTGAGCTTTAATCAAGAGCAAAGGACAGGTCACGTGGGTCAGGGGTTATAAGCCCGCCTGCTCTGTGCGTGCGCTTCCAGACCATGTGCGCACCCTTCTGCCTAGAAGTGAAGATGTCTGCTGGTGCCTGGCTCCCGAGTATGTTTATGCTTCGTGTTCTGCCAGGACCCCTGACTTGGGGGCTCACCTTATTTCTGACACTGGGACACCTCCCAGCACTGCTACAAGGTGCAGGTTGACCAGCCAGCACTCTATTCAGAAAAAAAAAGATGTTTGGAATGAAATTAAGAATTATCCAACCTGTGGGAAGAACAGTTGCTCCAGTCCCTCGCTCATCTGCCTGGCTCCTGGCTGCAGAGCCGTCAGGGAGGGCCCTGCACACTGCCCAGCTGTGCCCTCGGTGCCACCCACTGAGCAGCACACTCTCCTCGTTGAAGCACAGGGACAGGGCCATGCTGAATCAGCCTGAGCGCGCGCTCTGGGAGGCTCAGGAAGAACGCTCCGGACACGGTGCAGCACCGACGACTGGCTGATGCTGCTGGATTACACACTTCAGAGTGGTTAAAAAGCTAAAATGTATGTCACACATTTTTTTTATTGATTTTAGAGAGCGGAAGGGAGAGAGAGAGAGAAACATTGATGTGTGAGAGAAACATTGGTTGGTTGCCTCCCACAGGAGCCCCAGCACATATGGAACCTGCAACCTGGGTCTGTGCCTGACCTGGAACCAAACCGCCCACCTTCCCATGTATGGGATGACGCTCCAACCAACTGAGCCACCGGCAAGGGCACATGCAAATGTTACGCATATTTTACCACAATAAAATCTTTAAGAAAAAGGAGGAAGAGGAGGAGGAACATTAGGACTTGCCAGGAGGAAGGGGAGGAAGGGGAGGAAGGGGAGGAAGAAGCCAGCAGTTTCACCACAGGTGTGTCCCACCACAGAGCGGACAGAATGAGTATCAGGCTGTGCTAGTATTTTTTCTTGCAAAACAGAAAAGAAAAAATGTGACCTTCACTCACGTGGAACCTGTTTAAGAGTGTGGCCCTGTCACGGCAGCCGTGGTGTGGAGTGCTGACCTCAGTCCCAGGTCCCAGGCGGCCGTCACCCAGCACAGTCTCTCTCGCCACAGGAGCTCTCCTAAGACACAGCAGAGCTGGCTGCAATGTGCTGTCAGTTTCAATGCAGTGGGTTTTAAAACCTGGGAGCCAATTTAGATAAATTACATTCTGAACAAATGGGCAACAAGCATGAATATTCTCTCTTGGGTTCGTGCAATTTACTATGAGACTTTCCTTTTCATTTTATTTAATGATTGCTGCTAAAAGTGACAGTTACTGGCAAGAAAGTTAATTAGAATTTTAAAATTTGTTTTGTGCCCTAACCGGTTTGGCTCAGTGGATAGAGCAGCGGTTCTCAACCTGTGGGTCTCGACCCCTTTGGTGGTCGAACGACCCTTTCACAGGGGTCGCCTAAAACCATCCTGCATATCAGATATTTACATTACGATTCATAACAGTGGCAACATTACAGTTATGAAGTAGCAACTAAAATAATGTTATGGTTGGGTCACAACATGAGGAACTGTATTTAAAGGGCCAGAAGGTTGAGAACCACTGGGATAGAGTGTTGGCCTGGGGACTGAAGGGTCCTGGGTTTGATTCTGGTCAAGGGCACATGCCCAGGTTGATCAATTATTCTCTCTCATCACTGATGTTTCTTTCTCTTCCTCTCTGAAATCAATAAAAATATTTTTTAAAATCCTATATAATAAAGAGGTAATATGCAAATTAACCCTCACGCCATCACAAGGTGGCTGCACCCACAGCGGAGGCGGGGTTCCTGTAACAAACTGTAACGAGCAATCAGCAGGGACCTGAGGCTGCGTGGTGCTGAGGTGGGGGCCCTGAGGCTGTGCCCCCCGCCCGACGGGGGTGGGGCCAGCCGGGTCTGGATCTCGCATGATTTTGAGGCGTGAGCGGGTAGGCGGGGACTTGACTCTGGGCCCCGCCGTGCGCCCCAGACGCTGACAGGTGGAAGATCTTCATATACATTTTACTAATTTTCTTTCATCTCTGACACTTCTATTATAGAGAAAGGGCAAATAGCAATATGAAAATACTTCCTCTAATTAACTCACTTTTAATGTGTACGAATTACCGGGCCACTAGTAAATAAATAAAATTAAAATGTGTTTTCTTTTGAAAAAGACATTTAATCCCTCATCATATTAGATACATCTAAATTATTACATCTTTTTAGGTGCGAAATTGAGACAGGAGCCTTACAATATTATGTGGCCCAATAAAAGATGCAGTTAAGGTAGTTTAAAATCTAGAATAGCAATGTAATATGGTGTAATGTTTAAAACTGTAGGTGCAAACGGCAGGAGGAAAAGCTAAAAATGGCCAGCCCTCGCCTCTGGAGAACAGGACGCAGACATGAACAGGAGTGGGCACATGGGAGGTGTGGAGGGTGGGTGGCCCGCTGGGGGGGCACCCCTGGAACTGTTTGCTGCCATGCCTGTGGGACCCCCTGCCTCCCCAGCAGGCGGCGCTGGGGCATCATCGCTGCTCTCCCTGCGCATCCTCAGAGCTGGGTTCCAAGGCGCCCAGCGGACCTGAACTCTGAGCCCCATTCCCGGTGAAGCCAGCCTCAGGGGGAGGCCAGGGGGC